TTAGGAAAGAACATCGCTTAACGGCTGGAAAACGGTCGATGTAATTTTGTGTAGTACGATATAATATTCCGGAAATCAGTAAGACTAATTGCACGTTAATTTTTCTCTTGTCCCATTTTTGGGCACTACACGCGGAAATTATTATCATCATGGCTTCGGAAGTAAYCCATAATAGCAATATAACCGTAGAGCTTTTATACTTGCACCCTCCCAGCATGCGTCGATGCAACATACATTATATACCTTTAAAACACTCACAGAACCAAAAATACATGCTCTCGCATCAAATATTATACATATATGTACATATTATATGAATATAGAATGTATAGTTTATAGCCCAACCATTCATTAATTGCATTACCATATTTTATATCACACTCTTTAGTGCTCGAGTTAATAGGGTTTCGGATTCGAATTGAATTAAATACGCGCTTCAAAATTCGAGTAAAAAAGTTAATTTACACCAGTATAATATTATATCCATTGAATTTAGTTTTGAGCTCGAGAGCATGCTCACTACTATGAGCACTTGCTCTGAGTATAATTGTCACATAATATAAAAATATAGTCTATTTTTATGCCGTTTGTTTGTCGAACACTTGKCTGTACAAACCSTTGATTGAACTAATAGGTACCATCCACTATTTATTTTCTTTGAAAAAATAAGCCTCGTAATAATTATATCTTTTTAATATGAAGTTTAAAGTATAATCGTTGAAAAATAATAATCCAAATCGCTTGTCCTACAAAAAAAAAAAAGATTATAATATAAAATAAATATGAGTTATTTAAAATTGTAAATAAAATATTCTTGATACATGGAAAAAAAGGTCAAACAAAATACATTAATATTCGGCTTAAGTAAATAATAACACGATAAAAATAAATTAATACGTTTTTTTATCGCTTTTGCATTTGATAATATAAAACGCGATTCATCGAAACTCATTTAAATAAAAATATATGTATATTTTATACACTATACACAATCACTTAAATATTATATTAAGCATTGGTAGTTAATTGAAAATTATTAGAAATACAACGTAATATTTATTGATGATGAAACACTATATGTGTGAGTTTTTGAATTTTTAATATTGCGAATAGCCATAATTATAATCAGAGAATTATAGCTACAAAAAAGCTTTAAGTAAATGTTAAAACTGGTTAGGTTAGGTTATAGAATATTTGAACATTATTTATGTTGACGTATTAAATGACAGAAACAAACAAAATATTATAGACATGACATAGTTAATGTAGAACTTTAACATAATTTAATCACATTAATGTGTAAATATGAGTAATAATTTTTAATTCTAAACTTGAAATGATTTCATAAAATTGTAACTTATGATATATTATGAGCATAGGTATTTTAAATCTATTGATTATTAACGTCATTCTTATGAATTATGATCTTGTACTGCAGCGTAAAAAACAACCCTTAAGATAATATCAAACGTAGATTATAAAAAGAACAAATTGATAAAAAAACACCTGGACCAAAATTGACGATCATACTAATTATATACAATTGATAAGATTCTTATCTGAAATTACTGTAAAGTTTTTGCTACATCTATAAAGGTTTGTGWGTAGTCAAAACAAGTATACAAAAGTAATTAACTTATAAGTTATAACTTAGTTCACAAGTAAACTTAAAAAAATTACCATCCATAGTTTAATGAACTATACAATAGGTTTTAAAAATGACCATAATTAACAAAAATAAATATATAGGTATATTGTATACAACGTTGCAGCGTTTTGAAGATACGAGTATATGACTTAAATTAAGCTGAAAAGAGATGGGAATATGATATATTTTGTCGTAACTTTAAACATTAATTAGTCAACGAACTGATTTCAAATATTCTGCAATTGAAACTATCCCATATTTGTTTAACTAGGTACCTAATTTTAATTTATGATAGTCCGTTTATTATAAGTTTAGACAATAACAGCGCACATTTATTGATTTATTTACTTAGGTCGATAAAAAAATCGGTTCCTACGCGCTTATGATGCGTCATAAATATTCTATTTCATAACATCCGTTTTGAAGATCAATATTATATATTAATATTTACGTCCATAAAATGCATGATTTTAAATGTTACTTTTTTATTATTTTAAGAGTAAAACTAATCGGTAAAATAATTTTTCAATTGTATTATAGATTTACGTAGATTATATCTAATGCATTTTTGTCTAATATATCGTATTTTAGAGGTGTGCTATCGATATCGGTAGTTTTGGTCTACTAGAATCCGGCAAACCAGAATTTCGTTACTTACCTACTCAAAAACGGTTGTGTTATTTATAGGTATCTATAAAATATTTAATTTATCGCATTGTTGGGTATAATATTATTATGCAATGCGTAATTAAAATATTATTGTTCGATATTCACTTCATCACTTGCTGGTAGTTGGTACACACAACTGTTTTCACATGACATTATAATCATGATGGTTCAGACTGTTCAGAGATTAACACACACACACACACGCTCACTTGTTYCCTACAACAAGACGACATGAAAATATGCACTTAGTAATATAATGCCCGGGCAACATTATTCAGTCGTTTAGGACCCTCGTACCGGTTTTTCGGGGAGACGCAGTATATAGACGCAGTATATAGACGAAAGAAGAGAAAAAAAAATACACGAACCGATGATAATCGGTCTGGTGGATAGAGAACAGGTACCCTGCTGCTAAACGGCACCGCGGCGGGTGGGAGTAGCTCTCGGTAGCGGACCGAGCCGAAACGGCTGAGACCCATTGGCATGCGGAGGAGGAGTAGGAGATGAGACGGAGGGGACGCGCGTGTAACATAGGTACCTCTCTGCCGTTGGTGATAAGCCTCAGGCATCCCGGCACATGTACGCGCGCGTTGTTTGGTCCGCACACTAGCTGCAACGCATTCGAACTCACTGCCACTATTTATATATATATATATATAAGGTTGTTTTTTTTTCTCCGTTTCGGCCGCGTCATTATAATAATCCCGAAAAGTGTCACGAGCCCGACCCGGCACACTCACACATCCGCCCGCCATATTATTATTATTATAGTCGTATTATGGTCGTAGTCCTCCACGCGCACCGTCCCAAACACGTCCTMCGCGCTCGTCTTCCTGTTGTCGAATAATAAAAAAAATCGGAATTTTCGGTCGAATTTTACTACTTTTTCCCGTACACAATACTTGTGCGCGAGTGTGTGCGTCCGCGACGAGAGTTTTTCTTTTCTTCTTCTCCGTCATCGTTCCCACCGATCGACTGCAGCTTGCACGCCGACTGAAAACATAACGCACTACACGTTGCGGCACACGCCTATATTCTGCTGCATATACGTGCGGCATTTGGGCACAGGAATCGTCGATTGCACGGTAATACGCGACGTTGTAATATTAAAGTCGTGCCGAGCCTATCAGAATAATGACGACGCGTCTTAAGTTTCTGCAGACGTTGACGGTAACGTTTTTGGCACTATGGGGCACCGTTGGAGCCCAATCACGCGGCGGCAGTGCCGTCGTTGGGGCTTCCGGACCTGTCGGTAGGAGCATTTGCGACACTTGCGCGTGCGCTCCCGACAACTTGATTCCGTTGACGGTCAACTGCACGTGTACGAGGACAAAAGTAAGAGGAAACTATAATTATTTTATATACATTTCTTCTATCGTAGAGTTGTTGTTGTGATTATAATAATATTGTAACGAGTTTATGACAAAGGAATGTAATGAAAAAATAAATAATAAAACGCCTCTGTCACGCGTTTAGCGGGGTGGCTACGGAAAAACCTGTTTAAAGACGACACCGCGTATAATGGTATCATAAAAATATATAATATACGCATCGCGTTTCCACTGTTTTCGACGACCAGGCATCGAGTTATGAGATGCGATGGTTGTGTTTTTCGTTTTATTCCTCCCCGACATTCCGCGTGCGTTATTCTCACGAACATATCGGTAAGTCGCCGGAATGTTGTGTTTTGGACGCATTCGTAATCCATGACGCATAGGTGTGTATAATAATAGGAGAGTTACGAACCGCGTTGATCATCCGATCGTTCACACTTTATGACCACAAGAGTTTGTCGATCTCGTACACACGAGGGTTGCAGTTTTATCGACTCGTTTCTCCACTTTTAAGCCGAGGAATTTCGGCGGTGACTGTTTTTCTTTTTAAATCGTAAATTAACGAAGAAATCAATCGTCTGCAAACTAAATCAAAAATAAAATAAACGGCTATAGTCGTTAAATTTGTTACATTTTATTTAATAAACTCGTTACCTACTTTTTTTTTACTTTCGGATTAATATTTTACCATGCAAACAATTCAACTCGAGTCGTGATAGTGTTTTTCTTGGTAAATTAAATAGGACTTATGGGAGTTTTAAAGTTTTCAGTTGGATCTCTCTCCTGGGAAACATTATAGTAGATACGTAAAAGTACCGACCTAACCATTATGATGTATAACACTTTTATAATTTCATTTTAAAAATCACCTGCCAAATACTTATTTAAAGTTTTCATCCATTAGCATTATCGTTAATACTTCTTATGGTGACTTATTTTCATCATGTAAATACTCACAGTTAAAGTTAAATAATTTATTTATGTGTTCGCATTATATAATCAACAAAATGTTTGATTATTATTGAAAAACTACTGACACGGATAATATTAATATAAAATATAATATAATTACATAATAATATTGTAATCACAATCACTTTTATCAATTATTATGCACTGTAATTATATTTAAACGGACAGATTAATATTAATTTTTACAAATTGATTTCTAAACGTTTATTCATATATTTTAGCATTGCCGTTCCTGCAGTAATATAATTAAATTTTAGAAGTTCACATGTATATTGTATAGGTACCTATTTCTATCATTTGTCCAAAGTTCAAAACAAATACTTTTTGAAATGAACAATTTTAAGTGAGGTCGTTGATGCTATATTCATATATTTTTAACTAATACAGATATTAGTATTTAATTAGTAATTACAGCATAAAATTATTATATTTTGCATTTTAAACTTAATAAACTCGTATAGTAAATAATACAGTCCGAAAAAATGATGTGGACTATGTTTATGCTGACTAATAAATGAACTCCTGAATGCTAAAATTGTTGACATTATCGCTTATTATGTTGTAACTATAAAAAGTAGAATGGACTATAGTGTAGACTATGAAACAGTGGCAAACACAGTAATTGTATGTTTGTTATTTAGTCTATACCTAGTTGTCTAAATATGTACGTTATCATTTGAGTATTATTTTATGAAATTAAATGTATCTATGATTGAAATAAAAAATATCGATATTAAAATTTACTTATACAACTTTTTAGATTTAACACACAAAAATGACTAATTGACTCATAAATTATTATTATGATCTGTAGAAAATAATCGAAGATTAATAATAATCAGTTATTGCTGTAAAAATATAAATAGTTTTAATGGTTCATCACTTAATTTGTTTTAAATAATCAATAATAATTAAAAACAAACATTTTACCAATATGAATTGATAGCATTTAATTATAAGAGATTATCAGTAAAAGTATTTACTATTAGAAATATTTAAATATGACTAAAATATCTTAAAGTTAATATAAATTTTCGATAGGATAGATTTGATATACAATTTATTAAATTTAAATAACAAAATGTAATAACATTTATAAAGTTAGTTGTTACCACATACATTCTAACTTAATAAATTATTAACTTTATGATCATGATATTCATACATTTTGAACTCACTAAAATATATACTTAATAATATCTATAGTACCTTAATCTAAAATTAAATTGTAGTAAATTAGTTGTTGTAATTAAATTTTAAAAATACAATAGAGAAGATTTAATCTTGATTATTTTAGAGCTTTGATACAGTATATTTTTAATAATAAACGAGCCCTTTATACTAACAACTATACTTAGAACTTACTAAATTATTTTATTTCAGCTTTAAACCATAACGAGAAGGGTTCGGGCTTATTCGAATGGATTTAATTATTTATTTTGACATTTATGTTTTCAGTACATTTAGTAGAAATAAAACACGTAGTATTCGGCCGCGTATCTAAATTCATTGTTTTAATTTATTGCGCGAAACTAGACACATGCATTAAGTATATTTATTTGTAAATTATATTGGGTTCAAAATTAATCAATAGTTTATTACAAATAATTTAATACATATGCGCTTAATATTACAACCATTTTGTACAAATTAAAAAAAAAATTAAATTATTGTCTTAGATACGGAAATATATTTTTAATATTTATAAGAAAAGATTATTAAATTTAAAAAAAAAAACTTAAAATACAATTTTTTAATATTTATGAACTATGATAATTTTACATGAGGACATTTTTTAAGCAATTAAGTACCTTTTACGATATAAAACTATTCGTATCAGTTTCATATTTTCTACGACTTCGATATTATATAATGTATATAATATTTTGTTTATCATTCAACAATACAAATATCAAAGAGTTTATTGAAACGAGAGTTTATCTTGAATTTCCTTATCATAAATAAGTATAAAAGGAAAATAAAACTCAATAACGAGCATGCCAACATCCTGGTTTCTAATATCATAATATGCTTAAGAACATATTTTATGAATTAAATGTTTAATTAGATCATAAAATTAAATAATATGTGATAGATTTAAATAAAATTGAATGTCAATAATACTACATTGAGGACAATACAAATCATGATATAACCAATTATACACAGAGTGATTTTTTTATCATGAACAATTCATTATTTCAAAAATTATCAATGTTTTTGAAAATATTTTTTTACAAAGTTTCATGTTGTTAAAAAAGCAACGTTTTTATTAAAAAATTATGTTTTTTAAATATTTTTTATCCTTATAATTTTTAAGTTTTTTACTTTTTTCAATGACAACCTAGAGTTTTAATTTCATATTCCAAAGCAGAATATTTTTCTAATTATTTTGATACGTAAA